TCTCCTGAGAGGTTCAAATAACCTCAGCTCAGTGAGGTTAAGGCACACCTTGATATGATCATTATAATTATTAATGAGACATTAGAGACTACTATATGACAGTAACAAAAAAGTTGTTAAAAATAACAAGAATAGAGTTTAAAAGTGGAGTGATTTGTAAAATATCCAAAAAGAAAAATCTGCTTACAGTTCTGTTTCATATGGGTGTTGAGAGATGTACCCATAGATCTCCTCATGTTGCTCTCAAAGTGCACCAGATTGATGCTTTTAACTTCAATATTTAAAAAAAAAATTCCCGGGGGAGCATGCCCCCGGACCCCGCTAGAGGAGGTTAGGTCCCCCCCACTTAAATCATGTTCACATGGATACTAATTACATTTGCACACATCTTGTGTCCATATCTTTCTGTTTTGGTGGTCATGCCACACCGTGCACATGCATGCATGCGCGAGTCATGGTAAGATATCTGGATTAAGAAGTTGCTTTTTCTTTGCACAGCATGAAAGAAAGGCCAAATGAATTGGCTGTGATTTTAGTTTTTTTAAGCAGAGGTTGAGTTCAATCATTTGTACGGCCCTCGGAGGATGCTGTAAAAATTGAAAGGAAAAAGGTTCCCCACCCCTGCTGTAAATAATAATAAAAACCCTTGATTTATAACTTAACATCTCTGTCTCCTATTGATCTGAGTATATTATAAAGAATAGCCAGTTAATTGAAGTATTATAGCACAGGCCTTTGTCAGATGGTATATTACGCAGTTTTTTTCTATGTTGGTGGAAAAAAAAAATCACAAAATGTTTAGGGCAGCTGACGATATATATTAATCACCCTAACCAACATTATTTATTTTATTCAGATGTTTAAAAAAATACAAGTTCAATTATACGACATAATGGAGACATGTGAAATGGGACTCCCAGATAAGTTAAACGAAGCTTGGGAATAGGGGCCCAGACACTTAACATAAAGTATTCACATTATATTAGGGAGTTCATGTTTTATACAGCCCATATGAAAAGTTAAATAATAAAAACATCACAAAAACAAAGTATTTTCCACAATCAAAGAGGTTTCTTTACATACAGTATTCATGCATGTATTTTGTTTAAGTTATATTCATTTAAAACATGCTAAAGTGAGGATTTGTCCTGCTAATTGGTGGCACTGTGTCCCCTGCAGCAAAGAGGTCACTCCCACTTCAACCCCTCATTTTGATGAACATACACATGTCTTGGTCAATAATATAAAAAAGATTAAAATGGCGGGATGATGTGGAAAACTGCAGTTTCTCTCTATGGCAGCTTGCCATAGAGAGGGTTAATAACCAGCAACATGTCTTTAACCCTTTGTGTGGCCTTTCGTGTGTCAACATGACATTTCCCACAGGACTTGGACACAACTTCAACAAATACAACGATGACTTCATCACGGATCAGAACACGGCGTACGACTACGAGTCCATCATGCACTACAGACCTTTTTCCTTCAATAAGAACGAATCCATCCCCACCATCACCACCAAAATCCCAGAGTTCTTCTACATCATTGGCCAATACCTGGACTTCAGCAAGATGGACACCCTCAGGCTCAACCGGATGTACAACTGCTGTTCGTAGATGAGTTTGATTCCTATGTTGATGTGTTTTGCTTAAAAGTTAACAATGGACAGAAATGATTCTAGTCTTGGGGAGGCGAGATTTAGTTATTCATGTATAAAGATAACTTTATACATGAGGTCGGAGGCGGGGCCTGTTAATTCCTCTGAAAGTTGCTCAGTGGAGAGCAAAACAAATTGGGCCAATCGAGCATGGCACTTGTGTATTCCTTAAGCCCCGCCTCCAATCTGCTGCCTCACTTCCTATCTTGGCTGATTCAAAAATTTGGAGAAGGAAAATAACTCTGGATTTCGCTTTTAGCATATTTTAGAACTTTTCTAACATGATGATTTGTTGAATAAGAGCAATTAAAGAGTCCGTATTTGGTCGTTGATTTACCTAAAACAAAGGAAAGTCAATGGGAAAACTGTTTTTTTTTAAGCATGGAGTGACACGGAAGTTTCAGTACAACCAATTGGCTTCAATGCTCGTCTCACTTCCTGGAGGCTTGAATAAAGTATGTGCCCCCCCTTCCCCCCCAGCTGGTACTCTCACCCTGCTGGACCAGTGTTCCTTTGAGTATGCCAGCATCTGTGGAATGATCCAGGCCTCAAACGATGATGCTTACTGGGTCCATACCAAGAGCAGTGTGAGTGAAGAAGATCACACACTCCTGGGGAGATGCAGAGGTCAGTGTCTCTTGAAAATACCAATCATTATTCTCAGTTAAGAAAACATGAAATACATTTGCAAAAGTGAAGTTTTACTGAGGAATGGGAGGGTCCCTTTAAAAATATATTCCGTTACAATTACACATTACCTGTTAAATGTAATCAGTAACCAAATCTAAGTACCACGATATAAAAGTAAGTTAACCTGATTAATTTTTGTTGCTTTTGGATTATCAAATGCACTGCTAAATACAAGTACAAAATAAATATCAATAAGATGGCTTTCACCTAAGTGTATTATGTAAGAAATTAATAATGGAGGCAGGCCATTAGCTGCCTGTATCCAGATTCATCTAACAAACTCTTTAATATTTGCCGCAGCGTGAAATTAATGGGTGTAACTTATACTTTTAATATGTCTACAGTACTTAAGGCGCGTCTCATGTCTGCATATTTTTCTGTAATGCCACAGTAACAGATTCAGTGACAGACTGTCCACACAGTGAAAGCATTCTTTGAATTAGAGGCCATAATAATGACCTTGAAGATAAACTAAGGTTTCCCATGAGACTGGTTTCACCTGTTGTGAGACTCATGGAGTTTTGTAATATGTAAGAATGGACTTGGCAATATTTCATTCATAATTTTGAAATGTGTTTTATCACCGCAATCATGCGAATAATCCCCATTTTATAAAAATAAATCTTATTTTATGTAACTGTAAAGGAACACATGAACCATTTTGTGTATCCTGATCATCCAGTAACATGTAATCCATTACTCCCCCCCCCCAGATGCTGGGTACTTCATGCACTTCAGCACCAGGACTGGGAAGCCTGCAGAGTCGGCTCTACTGGAGTCCCGCACCCTCTACCCCAAGAGGAAGCTCCAGTGTCTGCAGTTCTTCTACAAGATGACCGGGAGCTCCAAGGACAGGCTGGTGATCTGGGTCAAGAGGGATGATGGCACAGGGGTTGTTCGTAAAATGGAGAAAATACACACCTTTAATGGTATTTGCATGTTTATATCAACACATTTCACAGTAGCATCCTGGAAAAACACAGCTTTGCATTAAGGCAAATAGTAATTTGTTTGTTTTGATATTCAAATCCAGTTATTTTAACACATCGAAAAAAAGATACTAGTCAAACAGTAACTAACTGCTGAGACAACATTACACACGCATAGGCCCAGAGTTAGCGGGATAGGTTTGAAAAAGCTATCTCTCTTGCACAAGGGTTAGATTACACAATTGATAGCACTGTATTCAAATCATGAAGTGACAGCCATGTGGTTAGCATAGCTTTGCATACAAACTGGAAACAGGTGGGGAGAATAGCCTGGCTGTTTCAAAGTAGGCCAAGGTAACATCACTATCAGATTCAGGGGTGCAGGTTTATGGATATATATATATATATATATATATATTTATTCTGTTTTGGACAGAGCAGGGCTAGATGTTCCCTTCTACTTCCAATCTTTATGCTAATGCTCTAATTTAATATGAAACGGACATATATGAGTTTATTTTGTTAAACTTTTGGCAATAAAATTAATAGCGTTTTTCCCAGATGGTCAAACTAGTTATTTGCAGTAAACATTCTTTTCCCTCTGCTCCAGCTGATTCTGACCACACATGGAAGATCGCTCATATCCCAATGGAGGTGGGGGTCAAATTCCGCTATGCTTTCCAAGCTGTGCGCGGTGAGCCCTCTGCCTCTGCCGGGGGCATCTACATAGACGACATCAGCCTGACAGAGACACGCTGTCCCAACGCCGTGTGGACCATCCGGAACTTCTCCAAGATCATGGAGACGGCCACCACTAACACGTCGATTGACAGCCCTCGTTTCTACAGCCCTGAGGGTTATGGTTATGGCGTCCGTGTGTTTCCTTTGTCCTCCTACACAGATTACACAGGGGGCTACACTGGGCTGTACTTCTACCTGGTCAGCGGGGGCAATGATGTGGTGATGCAGTGGCCGGTGGTCAACAGACAGGCCACCTTGGTGGTGATGGACCAAGACCCTGACATTAAGCTACGGATGTCCACTGCACGCAGCCTCACTACGGACATGAGGAAGAGTAAGTGCTCCTTATACATTTCCAGAGGCAATAAAGAGGCCCTATTATGCTTTTCCCTTTCCTGTAGTGTGTTATATAGGTTTCTGTGCATATAAGTGGTCTGCAAAGTCTAAAATCCAACAGTTCTTCTCCCACACACTCCCCCCTTTCTGAGACGCCTCCATTGTGTCATGACCGAAATCTGAACCCAAATGCACAACTTGTTGACAACAAAGGTTTCAAAAGAAAGTCTTCAAAATATAAACAATGGCAAGGCACTAGAGGCAAAACAATAAGGTTAACCTGTTCTGACTTAATGCTGGTTCTCTAACTCACTAGACAAGACAAACTGGCTCAGGACAAAGGGAGACTAGGACAATTAAATGCTTTGACAATAAATACATAAAAAAACGTCATCTGTGGAAGCCGTAGTACTGTAAAAAGCACGACCAATCATCTGAGCCGGCCCGGCTAAAATAACTGAATGGCCTACCTGCCTGACAGCCTTCCATCTGTGCACAAACTTATCTTGTGCCCTCATTGGTCATGTGCACGTTTGTGTGTGTTGGAGGAAGGGCTCTGTAAGGAAGTCTGAAGGAAGAGGCAGATTTTTTCGGGTTGTGTGCTTTCAAATTCTAGCGCACTCGAGCTGGTTTCTCCAAAATTACCTACCCTACTTTTAACATCTCTTTTGTGAAATGACACATTGGACTGAATTATTACTCAACTGACATCACTATGTAACACTCGCACTTCCATTGGCTAGCGCTCAAAAACATCGTACCTGATAAGCTAAGGGGCGGGACATCTCAAAGCGGTTGACCAATCACAACAAAGCCTGGGGTCTCATCTCAATTTCGCAATGATTGATACATATCATACAAACAATATTTTTACAGAAGTACATCAATAAAATAAATGTAAATGTGAATTTCTTTGAAAAATGTATTCTTAAAAAAATATATTCTGTGAAATGTAATACTTTTTCCCAGTCATTTTTTACTTGACGGATCTCAAGAGCTATCCAATACTAAGATATTGTCTTTTATTGATTATATCGCTATTAGATTATACAACATTCACTTTGAAGGACAGCCTTTTATTAATAAACAACCCTTGTCGTATGATGCCCTGTCAAATGTATAACCATCCAAAGTGCAAACATTGAAATCAATGTCCTACAAGAAGCCTTCAGAGTTATTATAAGTGATCCTGAAGGGGACATGAATGTATCCAGGAGACATTTTACCCACAACCACAAAAGTCAACCACAGGTAGTGTATAAATCCTCTGACTAACATGCAGTATCTTCAAACAAATCCATCCATAGTTGTTGGATGATGCAACCGTTCAACATCCCCTTCCCTAAAAAAATCAACCATACCACCACATGACAACGCCTACTCCAATGGCACCTCTTTCTTTTTGTGTCCTCTAGCATCAGATGGGAAGATGTTTTGGGACAATCCCTCCAAGGTGGGAACGTATGACCCCTCCTGCGAGTGCTACAAAAGTCAGACATGGGGCTGGAGGAACTTTGTCAAGCACTTTGACCTCAAGAGGCGCAATTACCTCAAGAACGATGACCTCATCATCTTCATCGACTTTGAGGGTAAGTGGTCTTCTCTTGTTCAATATTTGTTGTGTTTGGTGGGAGGATACAGGCATGAGAAGTCATTATTTTCCCATCCACAGATATAACATCACTCATCAAATCTGAAGTTCCCATTAAACCAGCGGAGGAGGGTCACACGGGATGAACTGGAGGTAGGACATCAGACACAAATAACATCACATGTGTTTGTGAAATTACTTTTTGTTTAATAAAAAAATAGTATTATGCAACATATGCAGGAGGGATGGAAAGAACAACATGACGATGGACAAAGGATGGAAGATACTGCCATGACACAATCATCATCATCATCATCATCATCATCATCATCATCATCATCATCATCATCATCATCATCATCTTTAGAAAGCTTGAAATGTGAAGATATATTTGGTA